TCATCAAGAACGAAGGCAATTGGCAAAATGATTAATATAATTCTGATCTCTCCTACAATCTTCCTCCTCTTTGTCGTTAATGTTTTTGCCGTACTTGAAATGAATTTGGAAATAATTGTTTGATAAGTGTGACTATGCAAAAAAAAGACAAAAAAATGGCATGCATACAAACTAATACAATCTATTTACATGTCAAGTTTCATTCTGTCTTATTGTTTCAGTTTCACTTTATAATTTGCATCTTTTGATTGATTTATATTTACTCAAAGATGTAAATAATAATAGGTTTCATTGAAGATTATCGTAATGTCCCACTTAGTTACTGTATCAATAATATGAAAATGAATTTGAAATTACAGTACGACTTAGAGAAGGGACAATGAAATGAAAAAATTTTTCTTGAATGAATGATTAAATATAATAATTGGAATTTACTGAAATTCGGAATTGATGCATGCCTTTTTCCATTGCTCTATTGAATTTGTCAGGGAACTTTTTTTAACGAAACTTTTCTTACGGTCGAATCTATTCCAATATTATCTTTCATTTTCATTTTATTAGAATGATGTTCATTTCACTAATAATTGCATCATTGATAATTGATTAAAAGGTAATTATCTATCTGAGTAAATTGATTAATTCATTATTTATTTAGGGAATCTCCTTAAAGAATGCTAATATTCAATTTGGGTAAAACAGTGAAGTTAAAGAAGGACTACAATCTTCGTATAACAAATTTCATATCACCTATTTAGACTATACCATTAATTAAATTAATTATCTAAAGAATCAATCCGGAACTCTACATAACTTCACTACATTTGATCGAGTCATAATACCATAATTTGCAAAAAAGAATCCAACTTATATCATGTAAATGACTCGTTTTTTACAAAAAAGAATTTAATTGATTAGGATAAAATCTTTTATGATTTATTCCTATCTTACATTTACCAAAGAATGGTGTATGAAGTGACTTATCTGTATTTATTTTCAATGTCAAGAAATGCTTATTATCGTTGTCATTGTTTTCCTCAGTTTGAATTATTCTAGTAGACCTGTTTTGACCACTTTTGAAAATGTTTTCGCAATATCGTTAGAAAACATTTGTCAAACAGTGAGAAATTTATCATCCTGATAATCTCATAAGTATGGTTGTGATCAAATACTTATCCTTCCATTTGTAGAAATTAAGTATAAATCTTTAGATAACAGAAGATATTTGCATTCTATCAATTGCTAAAAAGCATTCCTTTCTTTGTTCTATTTCATTCCATAAGGTCAACAAGATATTGAATTAGAAAGGATGATTAAGAAAAGTTGTTTAGATTACGACAATTCGATGAAAGAGAGAGGAAGCGATAACAGTTGTTTTTGCATTTGATCTGGAGTGGTTGACCTTTCACATGAAGTGTCAATTATAAAGCAAATAGATTTGAAGTATATCTCGTATGAATTCAGTTTAAAGTGTATCTTTCTATCTTCAACATTTATATATACATATCTATTCTCTAAACTAATCATTCATTATTTCATGCTAAAATGGATAAGAGAAAACAAGCTTATACTAGTTTATTTGATGACCGAATTTTGAATTAGAGAAAGCAGTTGAAGATATACTGTAAAGACTCAAGCATTACTTTTATTTTCACATATATAGATGCGAATTAACAATGCAAATGTGAATCAAACGAGATAGGCATTGAATGAAAGAAATGTGAGTTGAAATGTGGAAGCTTACCAATACTGATAGCTTCATCAGCTAATCACTAGACAGATTAAATTGATGTTTATTTATAATACAACTGATAAGTTTCGGATGTTTCTGTTCACTTATTCATAAACGATATCATATTCAATACTTTATTAATACAAATTAGTCGCATTCTTCTTTCTAATGTATGGAATTACGTAAAAACGTCATTTGCGCATCATTTTTAAACGTTTGTTTACACTTTTTTAGGAAAAGATTACAACATGAAATGAAACAAAAAGAGATGTAATGAGGGAAAACTTATAAGATTTTTTATCAGTTAATTTACTTTCCTCTTTCAGACTTTATGTATTTTAAAGATGTTGCGGTTGACTGTCAAACGAGACACTGCGGGATGTCAATGAAACAAGACGGAAAATTTTCGAACATTACTTTTTAATACATCTTATCCTTTATATTCAACTTTGATTGTTTTTTCTGCAGATGTTCAGCTAATAAAAATGATAGCAATGTGTTCATTTATCATTAAAAGGAGTTCTCAAACTATCGTTTTAAACACTTACGTAAATCTCTTGTTTAAATTCAAAATACAAATCTCGTAATCGTAAAAGCTATTGTAAGGATCAAATACAAATAACTGAGAGAATGAAAATTAATAAGTTATCACTGCGGAAATTTAAACAAGCATGCTTATCAAGGGAACAATTGATATTGTAAACTTGATCGTTCATTCTCGTCCTCGGTTACTTTTATAAGCACAGAAAAATTTTAAATTATTCCACATTGTGTTTATTTTTACTTATTATTTTACTTTTGTACATATCAATGATTAACAATGAATTCGTTTTAAATGTCTAGTAATTCATTTTATTCTTTGTAAATCGATTAGTTGGAAGTGCTTATTTCTGCTTCTTCTTCTTTCATTAGTTTCAGTGTTAATGAAGCTTAGCATTTTTGAAATCCAATCTGAATTCATCGTCATCATATGATGATTGCAAATTTCGAAATTATAAGGAGGAGTACCACAGTGAATTTTTGCGGAAAAATTTTTGTGAACATTTTAACCAAACGTCACATATTACTTATCTAGTAGTCCTTGAGATTTAATGGATAACAGAAATGATTTAAAATCCGGAAGAGAATAACAGAATTATTGTTTTCCTTTTCCTTTCAAATTGATCTGTTAAAGAAATAAAACTGAAGAGAAGAATAAAGTGAATGAATTTAATACATCATTATAGCTGTTAATATTAAAAATGCAATCGAATAATGTTATACTGGAATACTAATGAAACTGATATACCATAGTGCTTTACATTACAGATCACTGAGCAGTCTTTGAGGATCATAGTACTGATATTCCTTGTTAGTTAATTCTTTTATCTTGTCAGTTTACTGAAAGTAAAAGTACAAACAATCATCGGTATAGTATAAAATGTTAACAATATATGTTCATATCACCTATATGGCAGTGATTGAGAACAGAAAATACTACACTTATACTATTAACATTTTATTTATATAATGCAGTTTTGTATCACAGTTAATTCAATGATCTATCAGAATGTAAACCCAGTGAAATCCAGCTTTCACTTCCTGATGAGAATTTCTCTTATCTTGAATATATCGATCATTTATGATATTACTGCTGCATTTCCATTGAGGGAAGGAAGAGAAAGAAAAATTTGAATTCAGACTGATTATATTGAACTTAAAATTGCATCTTTTTAAGAATCATGCTGAAATGAGGACTGTTTGTATTACGTAGAGGAAATTTTATCTGGCATATCATAGGAGAGATAAAACTATGGACTGCTCTTCCTTTCCTTGGAAACTTGATCGAAGATGTTT